TTGGGAGTATGAGATTTGCAGATACTATTATGTATAAAATAGATAAACAGCAAGTTTATACTATGTAGCACAGGGAACTATCTTCAATATCTTGTAGTCACCTATAATGAAAAAAGTTATGAAAAGGAATATATGCATGTTCATGTGTGGCTGAAACATTATGCTGTAACCAGAAACTGACACATTATAAACTGACTATATTTCAATAAAAATAATGTATTGAAAATCATAAATCCAGTGGACGAGGTGGGACGTTTCACAAATGCTCTTCTCTCTGCTGGAAAGACGTGGTCCCCCACCCTCTGAGATTCAGGATCACTTCCTTTACAGAACCCTCCCAGTTGCTGTAGACTGGGACCCGTGTGGTCCCAGGAGCTGTCACAGCATCCTGTGCCCTTCTCCCATAGCCTTTATCTCACGAATCCTAATGTTGTTTGTGCGCATTTCTCACTAGACTGTAAACTTTGTGATGATCTGGACTGTGATTATGGACTTCTCATATCTCCTAGACGGCTGGGCATCAAACAGTGCTCACTTATTTCTTAAAGATTAGTTTGATGGGTCGAGCAAATACTTTGCACCATTTCATTAGCTGGTTATTGGAGGTTAGAAGGAGAATTTTTCATACAAACCAGAGTTGCCCAGAAGTCAAAGGTAACTGGACTCTATTAGCTTATGGAATGTTTATTTTTCCTGGATCTGCTGTGGAGGGAGGGTTCCGGATTAATGCATGGACGATTCAAGAGGATTGTAATTCACGCCAGGTAAAAATTTTTCCACATTTAAAGATAGTATCACAAAACAGTAATAGTTATGGTGGCAATGAAGTCTCTGTATATTTTCCTACAAAGTTATGGGTAAAATCTTTGTAAGCACATAGCTGATGAATCAAAGAAGGAAAATCTTCAGATTTGGGGATTCAGTGTTGAACTCAGGAGATTAACATAATTTGGGTTCACCCCAAAATGGACCCAATGACAGATTTTAATGCATGTAGTTTATGTGGGTTGTGGTCCTGGGATTAAAATATATAAAATAGGATAAATTCATAGCAACGCCGAGAACGGGGTAGGGTTCGTGGTAAGCGCTTCCAACTGTCTTTCCCAGAAGCTGTGTTTAGTCCCAGACTGAAGGCAGAAATACCTGAGCAGGAGGGAATAGGTCTCCTAAAACGACAGATGCTTGAGACAGGGTCCTTTTCCGGCATTTGAGGCTTGAGATTGTCTGCCAGTTTCTTTACCATTATTTGTTTCCTCACATTTGCCAGGTGACATATTTCACCTTTATTCAGGCTGGCAAGAAATCCTCAAATTCCGGGGAGAAGCCATAAACGAGTAATGTTAGAATAAATTCTTGTCTAAAAACTGTCTAAATTAATCAACCATATGATTTATTTATAAATACCCATCCCAAGAAAAAAATCAAAGGGGGAGAAGAGAAAATAAAAGGGAGAGGGGAAGGATGCCCAAACAGAACTGACCCCAGAGGAAATAAAGACAATCTGGAGAAAAGAAGAGACATTTTTAAATCTCTAGTCGGAGTTAGAGAAGAAATTAAATCCATAAACTAAGAATAGATTACTGTTCAGAAGGGAAAAAAAATCAGAACATTGAATAAATTCATGGAATTAAAAACATAGTATCTGAATAAAACAATTTTATAGAACTGATTAAAAGGAACATTTGATGAAGTTTCCCAGTACAGAGAGATGAGAAATATGAGAGAAAAAAATCGGAGCAATTGCAGAAAATGAAGAATAAAACAAAGATGCTAAAAACTTCTCGCAGCAAAAGGCACGTGAACTGCAAAGGAACAAGACCAAGACTGGCGACAGATTCTGCATCAGAAACTCTAGTGTTTAGAATATGATGGAACAATGGCTGAATTCCCTTAGGAAATTTATTTGGAACTTAAAATCCTATTTGAAACCAACCAAGCTATTCATCAAACATGAGCACAAACCTAAAGAATTTTCAGACATGCAAAGAAGGATTGGAAACTTCACGTCCTATCCAAGTACCTTTCAGAAAATAAGATTTGCTGAGAACATACTGGAGAAAAACAAACACAGAAACCAAAGAGAGCACATGGCGTTTAAGAAATATCATCACAATCAAAGGGTGCATAGAAAGCAATCCTAGGATGACAGCTTGACCACCAGGCCTGAAAAGAAGGTGGAAAAGGAAACTCTTTCCTTTTCAATGACGACAAATAAGCATTTTTACCTAAATAATAATATTTATGCGAATATTCTGAACTCATAAAAAATAGTTTTAATAGACACACACAGAGAGGTACGTATAAAATCTTGCATGGAAAGTACACCGGCATCTCAGTAGAGGTTGCTTTGGGAAAACGACCAAGTGGGAGGGAGTACGAAGGAAGAGACTGGGAGGCAGGGATGTTTCTATAATACTTTTATTTATTTTTTGACCAAAAAAAAAAAATGCTAGCAGAAAGTTCAATGACATGACCTTGTCTATAATGGAATTTTTTTCCAATAGCTTTCTGGAGATAATTGGCAGACAGTAAGTTGTATGTATTTAAAGTGTACAACTGGAAAAGGGTTAACATATGTTTACACCTGTGAAACCACCACCACGTCAAGACAGCGAACACACCCATCAGCCCCAAGAATCTCTTTGTGCTCCTGTGATGCCTCCGGCCCGCCCCAGGCAGACGCTCAGGTACTTCCAGGGACTGCCTCTGGTGCTTTCAGTCACCAGGAAACTTTGCATTTCATGGAATTTTGCATCAGTGGGATTGTACAGGATGCACGTCTGTGGTTCCAGTTTAATCTGAAAAGCACCTCCTTTCCAGGCTGGGCAGTTAACGATACCGCAACCAGCCTAGTGACAGGCAAGGAGTTGGCTGCAAGAGTGTTTCTGAGCCCTGGGTGTCTTTTCCTAACAGGAGACCAAGTCCACCCTTGCTCTGGGGTGTATGTGTTAACTCCGTTAGATGCCCTGACTTCCGTCTGGGGAGGATGGCTCCTCGGGCTGGTGTAGCCCAGCACGGAGCACCTGAATCATTTTGACGCTTTCCGCTTTCAATATGGTGATGACGAGCAACTAGTCTTGACCATAAATCAGCAAACGTCAGGAGCTCAGTGCTGAATACGAAGCCAGCCCAAACTTAGTGACTTAGATCAACCAGACTCTGTAGTTGGAAATTCGGGCATTGCTCCAGAGCTCACAACTCCGGGGCTTCCGCTGGGAGGATCTGACACTGGTGGGTAGTGTGACTGGCAGGGGGCTGGACCCACCTGGAGCCCAGACTGGAAGGACCTGGAGGCTGGGCTGGGCGGGGCCCTCTGCCCTGTGCCCACACACAGCGCCCCCATTGGCCTGGGCCTCTCCCAGCACGGAAGCCGGGCTCTGAAACAGAGCCCTTCGAGAGGAGGCGCCTGCAGAGCCCGTGTTTGGGGAGGAACCAGCCTAAAGTGCTCGACGTCTTCTGACCAGGCCTCAGGAGCCTCACATAGTGTAACGGCGAATG